GTAAAGATTTACAGCCTCGGAAACCCTGTACATGGTCGCTATGGGTCGGAACCGACTCGATGGCACTTAACAACAACAACAACAACAAGCCTTTAATAGATGGGCAAATGTTTGATTCTTTACTTTCTTTGTATGCACTGTATTCTTTGAGATCCACAGGCAGGTGTGAAGCTGTCTGACAGAGGTGTTCTGCTGTCTCTCTCAGCCTCTGAGCCTTTCTTAAACATGAAACAACAACAACAACAAAACCCTGTTAAAATTCCTGAGATTTATGAAGAATGTAAATAGGATTCAAGGGTATGTCTGAGAAGCATCTGGCAGATTCGGGCACAGCAAGCATTCATTCAGCAGTTCAAACCCACCAGCTGCTCCTCGCAAACCCTATACAGAGTTGTTATGAGTTGGAACAGACTCAACAGCACTTAACAACATTGCTCCTATTGAGTAGTGTGATGTTGATATACAGCCTAGCTTTTCCAGCTTAGTAGCTTTGGGTCAGACACAAGACAAACTCTTTGGATTCAATTTGATCATTAGCCAGACCATTGCTAAGGTCTTTTTCAGCTAAAAATTTTAGGCAGGGGGACAGACAACTTGCTTAATCAGTACCCTAGAGCCAGTCTCCCTGTGTCCATGTAAAGAAGTATCCTCACACAAGTGATTAGTGCACATAGAAGACTGCTTTTCATCTGTCTTGCTTTTCAAAGGCATATTGGTATTAGCTGAGTCATACTTTACTTGAGAGTTCCTAGAAACTCAGAATGAGGGTGAAAGGGAGAAAGACATCAGAGAGAAATGCACTGTGAGACTACTTTGTAAATAAAGGAGCAAAATTTATTTTTAATTTAAAAGACGTACTTTTTAGTAACTAGCATCACAATGAAGGAAATACATTGTGTCCCCCCAACCCCTGACCACTCCACACATTAATTCTGTTTTTCTTTTAGGATACTTCCTGGATTACAGGATGTGACTACCTCTCACAACTGAAACGAATTGTTGCCACTACAGAAAGGACCATTATTGTCTGGGATTATAAAGCTCAAGGGAACAACCAGGTACTGTGTCAAAAAAAAAAACATTAAAAAAGATGCGATTTTCTTTCCAAAATTGGTAAGATTTAAGCAATTCAATTTTTCTTTGACCATCAGTTTCTTCATATGTAAAATTAAGGTGTGAAAATGAAATCAAATCATAAATTGAAAAATTAATTTTTTGTGAAGCTAATTAGAAAGAAATTTTTTTTACAATTTAGTGTATGCTTGATTAACTATGTTATTTTATTTTGTAGGTAAAGTAACAAATTCCTTTCCTCTTTCATACCCTTCTCTGATTCCAAGTAACATATATATATATCTGGCTATGCTCATGTTACTAATTCAGTCTTTCTCTCAAGTTCACATTTATTTGGTAAGAAAATTACAAATATCAAGTGCCTAATTCTGGCACACACACACACAAAATGTAATGGGGTGAGTGTTAATGTTATTTTCTTCCATGGCTGAGATGTTATCACTGTAGGTTAATGCACTGGACTGCAAAAGTTGATTTGAACTGCAAGGTTGGTGGTTTGAGCTCACCAGCCACTCCTCAGAAACCCTATACAAGGTCACTATGGGTTGGAACCAACTTGACGACACTTAACAGCAATAACATATATTGAATATTTGCAGACATGTGGAAGAAGGATTAAATAAGATTCAAACAAAACTCAGTCTTGAATGATCACAAACAAGAGTAAACAATATAAAATATAATTTGTTGTTGATGAGCGCTGTTGAGTTGGTTCCAATTCAGAACAACCCTGTATAGGGTTTCTGAGGCTGTGAACCTTCGTAGGAGCATAAAACGTCATCTTTCTCCTGAGGGGTGACTGGCGGATTTAAATTACCAAACCTGTGGGTAACAGCCGACGCATAACCCACTACACCACCAGCAGTACCATAATACATTGATGGTGGTTATTTGCTGTGGAGTCGTTTCCAACACATAACAACTCTGTATAGGGTTTCCAAGGCTGTAAATCTTTATGAGAGCAGAAAGCCTCATCTTTCCCCAATGGAGTGGCTGGTAGATTCTAACTGGTGACCTTAGAGTTAGCAGCCCAATTTGTAACCGACATGGCTAACCCAAGCCATGGTATTTTCAATAACCTCATATGCATGTGAAAGCAGGACAGTGAATAAGGAAGACCATAGAAGAATTGATGCATTTGAGTTCTGGTGTTGGAGGAGAATATTGAAAGTGCCACAGGCTGCCAGAAGAACCAATAGATCTGTTTTGGAACAAGTGCAGCTAGAGTGCTCCTTGGAGGCCAAGATGGCCAAACTACGTCTCTCATACTTTGGGCATATTGTCAGGAGGGACCAGTGGCTGGGGAAGTATATCATGTTTGGTAAGGTGGAGGGTCAGAGAATCAAAGAAGGGGGAAGAGTCAACAGGAACAGCTTAAAATGGGAGGATCTTCCAAAACAGCTCTTGATAGGCTGTTTCTCACAGGAGAAACACCTGAACAGACTTGAGAAGTAGGAGAGAGAGTGACAAAAAAGGAAAGAGGCAAAAAATTAAATCTTGAGTTACATCACGAGGAGAAATGGTAATACCAACAAAGCATCATCTACCCAGCAAAGCTGTAATCAAATATGGTGAAATAAAAAGATTCAAGGACAAC